GCGCAGCTGCAGCGTCACAATCTAGATATTGTGTGAAAGTTAGTAGTAACGCGCCACTACAGCGCTTCCACAAGCGTCTAATTTTAAAGAGCCCTTAAAATGCGATAGCCAACTCTGTGATCTATTGGAATTATGGGGCTTATTCCCAGTTGTCACCACCGGTGGTGACAAACAGGATAAAAAATCTCAGTTGTTGCCACTGGCGACAAATGGGATTTAAGATCCGTATACTCCCCACCCGATAAGGGCCCCAGTGGTACGAGACGGGTGTGGCCTAATATTTATGTGGTCTGTGGGTGTGGCGACACAGGTTAGCAGATTGGGACGAAATGTGCCTTTTCTTGCTTCATATCCCTGGCAGGCTTGCTTTACTTCAGGAGATTCGTCGAGCTGTGCTGATGCTGTAGTTGAGGTCTTGCGATTGGGCATGGAGTATTACATACCATACTTTGATGTACCCATTGGACCTCAAGCTCGTCCATGGTTTAACGGTGACTGTAGTCATGTTGAAACACAAAAACAGTGCGTACTAAGCTTGGGGAGATGCTCGACTACGCAAAGCTTCGAATACTCGGAATCTGAATAAAGCCTTTATTAAAGCCGCCAAGAAGGGCAAAGACGTGTTACACGGGACCAGTTCGATCATGTGCGCCGCATAGCCAAGCTTGCCTCTTTTCCAGCAGGCAGCAAGTCCTTTTGGTCCCTGGCCAAAGCGGTCGAAAAAAACTTTAGTAGCCACTCATTACCACCTCTACTGAGGCCAGACGGCTCGCTGGCCCGTACTGCGGAAGAGAAGGCGAACCTCTTCGCCTCACTCTTGCGGAGAGGTCGCGTCTGGATGCCGCAGGATACCTACCACCTTCGGTACCTCAGCCTGGCTGCACTGTGGCCAGAGAATACATTGACTGAACGACAACAAGGCTGCCGGCGAGCCGTTTTCGTACGAAGACGGCTTTCATATTTGAATATAGTTTTCATTTATTCATTACGAAACTTGTACGTTAATATAAAACATCATTTTACGTTACTATTTATAATGATCGTGAATTGTGCTGTGTGCGGTTGCCTATCATCATTTTCCGAAAGATGAAACGAACTAAGTAAAAAAAACTTGTATCTGAGATTCATTCAGTTATTGTTTTCTTCATTTATTTACTACAGGGGGTCTACTCTCGATCTCCGTCCAACATCCGTCCGAAACAATTACTGCCAAATAAGCAATACTTGACCAAATGAACAGACGCGTGATGCGAATGAAGCTTCATACATGACATTTGTCTTTCAATTTTGTCGAATATTACTTATTTGACAGTAATTGTGTGGACGGATGTCGGACGGAGATCGAGAGTAGACCCCTGAGTAATATGTATGTATAAAAAATACAGATTTATTATATCAATATAATGAGACGCCATGACTTCGCGAATTTTCTATTCATATTGCCGATAAATATTACGTAGGTAGTGATTATATCTGATTATTAACTAAACTTGGACAAGCAATTTCAAATACCTTGGTTGTCTTACTTAAAATTATATGTCCGAAATATAACATTTTAAGTGCTTTTAATATATTTTTGAAAATAATCTTCAATATTACTCTAGTTAGTGAATTAATGAAAAATATAATAATATATCGATATAAATACCTAATAGACATATATAATTATTAGGATTATAGAATCATAGAATCATAGATATCAGATTCGCGTTAGAATTTTCGCTATGTTGCCGCTCTGACCATGTAACGTAATAGTGCGAGAAAGTGGGTAACCCTGCCACTTCACGCACACATTTGGACTTGTGCAAATAGCGCCTTGCTGTATGTAGTAGTAGGTAAATAATTTTCGACCGTTGTATGGAGTGTCCGGCGTGTGCTATGGCGCCAGTTCGTATACGCCAAAAAGAGGTACTCAGAATTCTGCGAAGTCTGGACGTGCGCCCGAGTTGTCTCCTATTCTCACAAGCCTGTATCGCCTCTCACTTGAGACTGGTGTAGTTCCCAGGTCGTGGATGCTTGCAAATGTGCAACCAGTACCTAAAAAAGGAAGCAGAGCTGACCCTGTCAACTATAGACTTATCTTAGTCACTTCCATAATCTGCAAGACTTTGGAACGTGTACTTAACAACTGCCTCCTGTCGTACCTTGAAGACAACGATCTCCTCAGTGATCGCCAGTATGATTCCGAAGAGGGCGATCTGGGGATCTTCTTGTGTACGCCTCTCACTTATGGAACGAGGCTATAGAAGGGCATGGCGAAGCCATTGCAGTGTCTTTAGACATTTCTAAGGCCTTTGACAGGGTCTGCCACTCAAGCCTTTTAGGCAAGCTACCCTCTAATGGGCTCCCACACACCTTTGCAATTGGATTCCGGATTTCTTGAGTGAACGTTCCATTCTAGCAGTCTTAGAAAGCTACTCTTCCGAACATTGAGCGATAGATGTTAGCCGGAGTTGCTCAGGGTTCTGTACTGTCCGCAACACTCTTTCTGATGCAAGGTGAGGTATTACTTCACACCGGGACAAGCACCATATCTTTCTACGTTAGTTTTGATTATAGTGACCCTCCCTACCTACCCTTAGGGCATTCGAGAAGGACACTATAACCTATGCGCACACAGGAACCTTACAAGTTCAGGTTCTGACCCCAGATCAACTAGTGCACAGGGTTGTCACCGACCTCTGTCACTTGACTTCATCCGGTTCTTCGAGAGGCTAGTGCCTCGAGTGAGCCGCCCCGGGTGCACGTACAGTACCCTCCCTATTTTCCAGATAGGTACCGGAGCTGTAGGCACTCTCACTTCCCGTTGTGCATTGCACAACTAGCAGTTGCCACCGCTAAGCCGTCGACTCTGAGTCCACTACCAAACATCCTCATAGGTGGCGGAGCTGTAAGCCACGCTCACTTCCCGACGTCGAAAAACGATGTCTCTCCAGTTCCCAATAACCTAAACGGCTGGATGGACCGGAGGATATCTAGCTTATCCTAGCTCTCCGGGCTAGTGCCGGAGATGCCAGTCGCAGTGTCCTGCGACAATGTCCGGACATAGCTTCCAACTTAAAGGGCAACTCACGTGGCCCGCGTGTCTCCTCGCATACAGGCCCTCAAGTAGACCGCTACTAAGATGCGCTGCTCACGAGACTGACGCCCCGGCACAAGCAAAACCGGAGCAGACACACATGTCCGTCTCTGCATCTAACCACAAACCCCAGCGAGTCCTTACCCAAATCCGGGTCCGCCAGAGACGCCAGAGACGCAAAGGCTTGGCCCGGACGCCCGCCGTACCCTGGTCTTGCCGTCGAGCCCGTAGTCTCTCCGGAAAACAGTCAGTCAGTCAGTAGATAGGGACACCAGGACAGTTGCTTCAGCTGTACCAAGCACAAGTCCGGTCGTGTATGGAGAGTACTGCTGCCACTTATGGGATGGCTCTGCTGAATACCAACTGGCCACCTTGGATTCAATAGACAAGCATGCTAAGAGGCTTATAAGTGACTCTGAATCAGTAGAGACGAAGCTGCACGGACACGGACCTTGAACACACCGCCGTAGAGTTGCCAGCATATCGATATTCTACAGGATATATCACGGAGAGTGTGCGATGGAATTGCATAATTTGATTCCGCCTTTCCATTATAGGGGACGAGACGTGGGTTGGAATTCCACTCCTATGTTGCGGATATTCCCCGGATTCGCACGAAGCGTTTCGCTTTCACATTTATACACACACATATGGCGAGCGGCTAGGGAGTGGAATTCCCTGCAGACTTGCTCCCCGAACGCTATAACTTGGACCTTTTCAAGGCGAGAGTGAATAGGTATTATTTAGATGTGCAAGCTACATCCTCGACCTCATCGTCACTTTCCATTAGGTGAGATGGAGGTCAAATGTGCACTTATTTTTTATAAAAAAAAAAAGATATTCCTGTAGTTGCGAGTTGTAAAAAACCGATTGGAATAAAAAGTCCCAATTAATATTTCTTTATTGCCACCATCGACAATTATTCAGAAAGTCACTATAAATATAGTGGACACCATAGATATAAAACAACAGATAAAATAAAAGCAAATGCAAAAACATTTTGCATTTTTTTTTATTTTAACTGTTGTTTTATATTTATAGCGTCCAGACTTTCTGAATAATTGTTAATCATGTGATTTTTAATAACATCTATACTTTTATCATTAAACTTGAATTTTATTTTATTCCCTTTCGATGGCGGCAATAAACAAACATTAATTGCGAGTTTTTTTCCACTTGTTTTTTTACCATTTGCAACTCCTGGGATATTTTAAATCCCATTTGTCGCCAGTGGCAACAACAAATCTTTTTATCCCATTTGTCATGACCTGGTAACATATGGGTTTTTTCCATTTGTCGCCAGTAGAAATCACCACTGGCAACAATTGATATTTTTTTTATCCCGTTTGTCACCACCTGGTAATATGGGAATTTTTTCCCATTTGTCGCCGGTGGGAACAAAAACTGGGTGGTGACAACTGGGATTAATTATGAAGTATCGCCTTTGTACCGCAACAACACATTGAGTTTCAATAAACATAATTTTGTGGGAGACTGATGCCTAAACTAAGCATAAAAATGCCTGTGCGTTACCACCAGGTTCACACCTCTCAGAAATACAAGTTAAATATTTAAACAGGGTATTTTTAACACTACTAGCATCAACGAACAATATTGATAAGTCACTTCTCAGTCCACAGATACAAACATGAAATAAATCATACAAGTTAGCATCACAAATCAAAAATAATAATTAGTCACGTGTAGGTGTGTAATAATAGGTGTTAGTTATTTGCGAGTTGTAACGACGCTTAATACTACACATATGTATAAGTAAAGAACGTAGTAAAACATTGTACCATTCACAGCCCTACGAAATTTAGTTGCTTGGGTTCAGCAGATTGATTGATTGATTCTGTGTTATGCGCATTAAAAGTTTATTGTTTAGTGATTGTTAACAAGAATTTTCCCACTGTTCCAGACACTTCCAGTCAATACATAGGTACCTGGATAACAGTGCGGCAGAACGAGCTCTATCCCTCGGCATGACAACCGACTCCGAAACTTCAGACGATGCAATGCTTCTTGTTGACCGAATGAAGCAAATTGCACGGTACCCTCCGGTGAGTTTTGTTATTATGAAATTGATATTCTTGAGCGTAATCTATTTATAGTGTGGTCGGGCAATCTTTGGGGGAGGCCTATGAACAGCAGTGAACGTCTTCCAGCTGATATGATGATGATGATTCTATTTATTACTGGCTACCAAAAGCACATGGTATCATAGTGTAGGAGCCAGGTTACTTCCTTTACTACCTGTTAAACAAGTGGCGAAGAATAGCGATTTTCAAAAAAGACGCCAAAGAGGTCAAAGTATTTATTGTACTCTTGTGTTATTAAGTGATCTTAATTGTAAATTATTAAAAAAAGAAACCGACTTATAACTTTACAATCGGTTACCAGAAACCGAAACCCCTAGTTTGGTACCCCTAAGAGATGGAATATTTTTTCAAATTTAAATGGGACCAATACCGAGATATCCTCTTTCCAACAAAAAAGAATCATCAAAGTCGGTTCACAAATGCTGGCGTAATCGCGTAACATACACAACAAAACAAATACAGTCGAATTGAGAACCTCCTCCTTTTTTTTTTTTTTTTGAGTCGGTTAAAAATCAGTATTACAACAATCTACTTTATGAATTACCGGCATAACAAGGTATTGCCTCACTCACTCATACGCGCAGACGACGCGCGTTTAATACATAAAAATCGCCGTCTGCACAGGCTCGTAGGTCTGTAGTTAAGTTTGTGTAAATGTTTTAATATACATGTTGTTGGTGTCCCTGTTATGAATAAAAATAGACATGGCATTATTTTGAAAAGATTAGGATGGCGACACATTCCACTAACAGTTCTTTTATTATTTTTCAGGCACCGATAATTCCTAGTCAGAACCTACGGCAATTGATGCCAGCGACAAACCTTCCTCAGGCTCGAGTTACTAAAGAAAAGAATAAACTCGTTATTGTACAGCATAACAAGAAACACTGATATTGGGTTTTGTTATTTTTGTTTAATCTTATAATTATATATGTGGCTTATAAACTGATTGTGTATATAGTTGCACTCGGATTTGATAATCAACTTGAACTGTTTGGAGTATGGAATTGATTTGAAAATACTAAGATCGGTGAGTGTAGAAAATTTAACGCAGTATATAGCTTTACATAGCGCTACATTTTGAAATACTCGAGATATGTAACTCGACAGTAAAATACAACAACAAAATTTCCAACAAACAACATTTGTTTCAATTAAATTAATTAATGCATATTCAGGATCGTAGCAAGTGGAAGGCTATGGTCCCTGTCTATCCCGATCGGAAAAGGGCATGAGTGTATGTATGTAATTAAATAAAATACTGCCTTAGTAAATTAGTTAATAATTTATTGTACGTTTGTAATACAATTGCCCAAATAATTTTAAATAATTTACTCTTATTTGGTGGTACAACCACATACCATGCTGATAGCGTTGTACGCGGTATAACACACAGCTATACAAAGCTGTCTGCACATTGCACAAATCCTTATTATTTATTTATTGAACATTGGTTGTAGACCCATCAGCTTAAAAAGATAACAAATAACTAAGAAAGTCAAAACGTAATATTTTACAAAATTAATTCATGGAAGATCGGGAAAAACAAGAACCAGCCAGTTGTATTCACTAATCCTTATAAATGACTCTTTATACACGCATATTTATGTTTACTTGTTCGTCACGTTGTTTCACTTTTTCGAATCTCGCAATCGATTTTAAGGGCGCGTTGAAATTAGCGTGAGAGTCAGAATGGCGGGTGTACCTTAACGGATCCTGCCAAAGTTTGTATCAAAAAATGTACCTGATTTGTACTATTTAGTACCTCTATTTAAAAAAATTGTACCTCCATCAGAACGAAGTTATAGCAAAATACAAAGGGGTGTACCTTTGATATTGTACACCTCCTTATTGAAAAATATAGACGCTTACCCTGTCCTATACAATTAAATGGCATCATCTACAACAACAAGGTACTCTGAAACCTCAACATAATTTGTCTTATTTCTCAGAAACTAACCAGCAGATCGAGCTGGAGTTTCCTTTACTTCAGAGTACATTAAGGTACAAATTTTTGTAATTAGAAGTTTTTATAGTTATTAACTAAATACTGGTAATCCGAGGTACACCCGCCATATTGACAGTCAATACGGCAGTTGTACCTTTGATATTGCTATAACTTCGTTCTGATGGAGGTACAAATTTTTCAAATAGAGGTACTAAAATAGTACAAATTAGGTACCATTACCATATTTTTTGATACCAAATTTGTACCCGTCATTTTGACTCTCACATTTTAAATCAATCACAAGAGGGCGAGTGGCGTAATTTAATTTCATATCCCTTGTTCCTGGCAAAAACTATAATCCCAAGAACGATTTGAGAGAAGAAATATATATAGTATATATTGTGTTATATATATATATTGGGCTGTAATGTAAAATATGTTTTTGTGAATCGAAATTATAAATTTTATCAATGATTCCATTAATTATTAGTAAGTTCTGCTATTGAACATTTTAATTAAAGGTAAAAAGACTGTTTAAACTGATAAATAAACAATTGAGTTTTAATCTGGATTTTAATTCATTATACGTCTCTAAGTACGTAGTATAATTTTTAGGTGGGTTTATGTGAAAAAGGAAAGGGACTATAAAAATGAAACCACATTTGATATTTACAATATATTATTTACATTGTTCACTGTAAAATTCATGTTCTAATTGTTTTAGTTTGTATACCTACTAAATATTATTTAAAATTCCACGGTATGCATAGTGTGCCTTCATTTAGTACAGAATAATAGTGCGTAATGTATAGAATATTCCCTCGAAGTAGCTGAAACAAAAATACGGGATTACTAGGACGTAAAATGTTCAATGAAATCGTATAAGTTTGAATTTCTTATACAATATCAGATGATACACCAGTAGAGCTTGCACGACTTGCACAAAAGCGACATAGAAACGCGAGATATTGCTATTCTAGAATTTCGCGACTCGAACCGACTAATTTACGATTTTTCTGGGTGCAATCAGATCCAAGCTAGGTGTTATGGTTTTCGAGATTTAAAAATGGTGCCGCCGGAATATGCCTATTCCAGAGTGGACAGTAAAATACCTTAATAACTTCAAAACGGCGTAACGATTAAATCTAGTTTTTTACAACTAGAACCGACTAAGTCACAATTTTTTTAGTGTAATAAAATCTAAGCTAGATGCTGTGGTTGTCCAGATTTAGAAATGGTGCCGCTGAGATAGCTTATTACATTATTACAGCTTATTACAGCGTGGACAGTAAAACACCTTTTTAACTTTTAAAAGCCGGACCGACTAAATCCAGTTTTTTGCGTCTTGACCGACTAAATGGCGGCTTTTTGCCTGACTGGTGAAAATTCAAAAAATTAACAAGACACGCTGGGATAAGGCATGTCGTTTTGACTGACTGTAAATTTTTGCCATTGTTGGGATCTCTACATTACAATTAATATTATTCACATTACACTATTGTGTAAGCTTACCGTGTTCAAATGAGCTTTTCGAGTGAGCAATCTCTGACAGCACAAGATCATGAGCGCCGGCGTAATGCTGTCATCCTTACGAAGATCTAAAAGTTCGAACCTCTGTTTCACTTCATCATATAGTGCTCTTTCTACGTGCTTGTTGCTGCAAAAAATGCAAGAATACAGTAATATTAATGTCATGCTAGAATTGTGCTACAGGGTATTTGACTTTATTTTTAGTACATTTATCAAATTAACTGCCTCCGTAACCGAACGGTTACCAAGCTGCACTGCCACGCAAGGTCCCGGGTTCGATTCCTGGACTGGGCGAAATATTTGTATGGCCTACACGTATTTTCTCGCGAGTTTGGGTGTAATTTGTGGTTGTTTATGTGTGTGTCTATGGCACAGGGTTACAGGGTTTCCTTAGTGCGGAGCTATGAGTGTGTGCATTTAAAACAAATGATATTAACTCCAAAGATTAAAACATTTTTAGCAAGCCAAAATAATAGGGGTTAAGTATGAAACTGTCTGTTTTATATAGTAAAATAACATTGACCTACCAACAAATGGACGTCGGATCTAATACAAAAACCACGAAAAAATGTCCGAACTTAACTTATACAAACAAAAATACATGTAACGAAACATAAAACAACTAAACATTTAATATAAATTGTAATGTCATTGCAGTACTCCTAATTTTGCTTGCATCAATTTAAGGGCCCAAAAACAAATGCACCGTATTTAGCTTAGACTCAAAATTAATTGAACACAAGAGTAATGGAACAGCCTTTATTATAAATATTAATTAATTTTTATATATATATTATTATGTCGAATTTTGTACAAATTCACTTAAAGAAAAATAGAGTTGGGCAGATACATACATGCAAATATTACAAATGTGAAAATAATCGTGTACTATAAGAAATGTACCGATATTCCAACTAAACGTAAACTCAAATATCCGTAATTCCGAAAACCGATTTATAATAAAACCCTTAGCGCCCAGACACAGACAGCGTAGACAAAAGACAAGCTAGTGCCTACCAGCTAAAAGCTAAATAAATAGAGCGTCTTTTGCCATGACAGTTCGGTCTCTGAACACGTGCATGCTGTCGTCAGTCGCTGGTAATTTGATGCTTTTCACAAAGGCAAAATTAGCTTTTGTATTCCTAAAAAATACATTTGACATTATGAAAATTCGAGCTAACGTTATTTCGGGTAAATGTATTTTCTGACTTCTGATATAGGTATCTGGATAGGTAATCCCAAGCCGTAAAACGAGTTCAACAATATTTGTTTTTTTTTTCTTATTTCTCTTGGCTTTTCGCGGTAAGCGTTTTAGCCACTTACAGAGTGTTTTGACTGACATGTTTTTAAAACGGAGAAACTTTAGTTATAGCAATAACGTTTAATAAAAAGTCATTTCAAAAATAAGATTAAAATCAACACGACTCTATAGTTTCTTTGTTCCAACGGTTACGGTTTAGTTATAAATCGGTTTTCGGAATTACGGATATTTGAGTTTACGTTTAGTTGGAATATCGGTACATTTCTTATAGTAATTGCTTATTTTCACATTTGTAATATTTGTATGTACGTATCTGCCCATCTCTTTATTATTTCTTGAAGTGAATTTGTACAAAATTCGACATAAAAATTAATTCATATTTATATCATATCATATTGTTAAGCTTCCAATAGAAGCTGAATATGGTGTTTTTGGGCCCTTTAAATTGTTGCAAGTTAAATTAGGCAGTACTGCAATGACGTTACAATTTAAATTAAATGTTTTAGTTTTTTTTTATATTTCGTTACATGTCACTACGTTTGTATAGATTAACTTCGGACATTTTGATAATGGGTCTCTTTCCATCTTTTGCGCATGCAATGTGTAGAAAAAGGACAGTTAGCTATTTGATTATTTTGTTTGCTTTTGTAATTTATATTTACGATTCATTTATATTATAAATTAAATACTATACAACTGTATAAAATAACACTTTTAAATGATAACTATGATAAAACTATATACTTGTTTAGTGAAAATATGATACAAAATCCTGTTTTTACACTTTACTGCAGTAATTTTTACAAGTTATTATTATACGGTACTGCATGATTGACAACCGCGCTGTCAGTCGAACAAACGAAGACTGTTGCGCGATTGACGCTGTGTATGCGATTTCAAAAAGTGTATAGTATATATGTATAGTGCGGACACTTTTTCGCGCGAACCCGATGTCCATTTTTTGCTTAGTCAATGGAAAATAACATTTATTTATAGGAAATGAAACTATTTTTCCGGATTTAAATCGCGTATATTTGTTTGTTCAAACAAACCGACGTTTCGGGCCCTTTAAAGGTCCCATGGTCACGGTTGACTGAGGTGGCACATTATTACATACATTTTCTAATATTGGTTTGCATTAATATTAGACATAACTGGTTGAAGACTTGTCGTCTTGTTTGAAAAACGTAAACGTCGGCTTGTTTGAAAAAACAAATATACGCGATTTAAAGCCGGAAAAATAGTTTTATTTCCTATGTGTAACAATCGCGAAAACCTAAGAACATTTATTTAATTTAACTTTGCGCACATACACAATAAGTGGGAGAATTCAGTTGGACGTGCATTTATTCCTTTGCGGTACAATAGTGGACAACAGAAAAGCACAAAGTTTTGAAACTTATTTTCGTTGTCTTGCAATCATTGTCCGTATTCTTTCACAATAGCAATCGGGTGTCAAGGTTGTACGGGATCAAAGGCGGTTGATTATTTCGCGGCTGTACCACGAAACAGTTACCAACATTTTGTATAGGTAAATACAATACATGTGTTGGTAATGGAGTGGTATGTTCGACCGAAACTCTTGCAGAACTGATGCAACGAAGTATATTGGCGTTGTTTCGGATGAAAAGTTTAACATTCATATAACTCTCGTAACCGTTCTGACACAGAAGCAGTTAAAGAGGCAAGTGAGGCAGGTACTCGGTGTACGTTAGGTGTAGCACACTATTTACATGTCGTCAGTGACTAACCCTTTGCGTTGGATTGGTGCTACGACGAAAGTTAAAATGGCATAATTAACCAAAACGAAAACAAATTAATATCGCCAAAATTAAAGCCTTAAAGTTTCTGAAATATATATTTCATCAAAAAAACTTTCATTACAAATTGGTCAGAATGGAAATATCATACTTTAACTTCCAATCATTCATTACATTGAACTTACAGGGAATGCTCAAAATTGCGTGTGAATTTTTCTTCTAACGCTCAAATTTATTTTTTGTAACTGTACCATGATAAACTTTATTTCAATTGTGTAACGTACAAATAAGATATGATTTAGCTGGTTTGTACCTTACACAATTGACATTAAAGTTCATTATGCTATTTATAATATCGTTAGCCCTCGTAGCATCGATAGCCCTCTGTTTTCACGATTGCAAAAGTAGTTAGATCGGGTAAGCTCGTTTATATTCGCCTGCCGTTGCCATAGTTGTGTTGTTCAGGATATTATTTTCTCAAATGTGGAATTTATTTCCGAATTTTTTGACTAGTTGTGCCGCCTGGGCCCATAGCCTCCTCTGAACCCCCCACGCTTGCTACTGTGTTGAGCCAATTGATCAGTACAATGGTATGCAAAATCGGAACTCACATGCTGTACTCCGTGAGCAGTAAAGTAGCCTCGTCGAGATGATTGGCAATGAATGCCATCAGCTCGTCGGCCGGGCACGATGACGGAGTTATGAATTGGCCCGTTGGAGACACCATTAGGGGACCGGCTTCGCTGTCAATAGGATATTTAAAAATGAAGGATTATTTAGTAGCAGTAGCGCTCCCTGTGATAGAGTTCGTCCAGGAAAGTACTGCCACCTTACCTGTTTTTGTCACCAAGCAGTAATGTGAACGTAACTGCGTTCCGGCTTTGAAAGGTAATGTAATGTAAAGGGATACAGTTTCAATTGTCTAGATATACATAAATACACATATCGTAATGATGCCTGGCGCTGTCCATTCAGTCCTTAGACATTTTTTAAATCTGTTACCAAGTGACTGGACGAACAAGTCGTGCGTCTGGTGGTAAGCGACACGCCTGGTGATAAGCGACACGCCTGTTTATAACAGTTGCAGTGCCGCTCAGAACTTTAAATCGCTATTGCACTGCACCCGTTGCCCTGAGACAGAAGTTGACAAGTCCTTTGTACCTATCTTATTTTCTTCTTCTTTCTTTTTGTTTCACCAGCACCTTTACCCTTCAAAACTGAAACGCGGTAATGCTCACATTACCGCTTGGCGGCAGAAATAGGTAAAGTGGCAGTACTTCCCTGGACGAACTTTTTCACGAGGAGCTCTACTGCTACGAAAAATGTGGTGCCTCTCTAAGAAGGATTCAACTCAAGAGTTAACACTGACTACATATATGATTTCATAATGATCAGATTCCACATAATTTAAAAGCATTCTACATTGCTGAGGAGTACAGAGATTTATTGGGGCGGATCCACACATGCGCACGCGCACGAAGAATGCAGTTCGCGTGCATCTTAGGAACGTAGTATGGACACATTTGGACATGTTCGCGAGTGGTTAGCGTGCAAGTTATAATATTCACGATGTGCACGTGGTTTCATGAATGAACACAAACATTGTAAGGTAGCGTTTGTTAACAGTTTGTTTTACGTGTAATGTAACATAGTGACTAATTGACTGACGGTAGCTTAACGACATATTAAGCGTGCGCACCAACTGCGCATATTCTGCTCGCGACATGCGCGCGCGCGCTGAGGTTGACACGTCCTATACCGTTCGAGGTGCGTGGTGTGCACGGTGCGTGTGATGCGCGCAGGTATGGATCCGTCTTTAGACAAAACAATTTTTTATTTCGGAGACATTCTTTTGTGAAAATTGTTCTAAAAGGTACTTACGGTTCTACGACGATTTCATATTTTTCAAGACATTCCGGAACCAAGTCACTAAACTTTTTACCCTTGCCATAAAAATCTCCGATTGATGTGATTAATTGCCTGAGGTGATTGCAATATTGAGTAGCAGACACTTTCGGCATGAATTTTCTGTAAACAAATTGTTGTACGTACTAATCATTGCGTGTGTGTGCATTGAGTTTTGAAGAAAGTATAAAATATTAGTCATTTAGTAAAAGTTCTAAAACAGAGAGCATGATACTTTTGTAAATCTAACTAGCCCCTGTGAGAATTGAGTGAGCCCACATTAAGTTATTTATCTTTTTACAAATAGAAAATTATTTGAGAACTTTTACTAAATGACTAATATTTTATAAACTTTCTTCACAGGGTGCTCACTGAATGCCAATATTTTTTTTTTTATAATATCAAGTGACGGGACGAACAAGTCGTGCGCCTGATGGTAAGGTAAACGCCTGTCCATAACAGATGCAGTGCCACTCAGAGCTTTAAATCCCAAAGGTCTGAGAGGCACCCTGAGAATTAAGTTGACACGTCCTATTGTAATTTCACCAGCACCTTTACCCTTCAAAACCGGAACGCAGTAATGCTAACATTACTGCTTGGCGGCAGAAATAGGTAAGGTGGCAGTACTTCCCCGGACGAACTATTACACTTACAAACTCTTACTCTATTTCATATTTATTTGGATTAACAATAAATGTAACACAATACAATGAATAACTTAAAAGGAAATTACTACAACTACGCCCACGTTTATAAATAATAATGTGTCAAAAAACCACATAAATTGCCTGGTAATTAGGGGAGTCAACTGTACTATGACTACCAGAAGGGCACTACCCAGAACACTCAGACCGAGCCAATGTAGAAAAATTCACCTAAAGAACTTCCTCATCCAGTGCCCATAGTGCAAAACACCATCGAGGTCGTTATTTGTAGACAATCACAGCTCATATGACAAAGATAAAAAATATTAAAGTAATAAATAGAATGGAAATCATCTGTAGACAATTAAAAATAATAATAAAAAACAACATTATTAAAATTAATAATATTTCATTAAGGGGATGTAATAACGGCTTCAATCGGCTATTCCAAGTTTCGAACAGGACTTCATATATTGTATATTATTTGTATATAGGGTGGGCCACGGCTATGCCACACGAAGGGAAAGTACCCTAAATACCGTAGATAGAAAATTTTACTGAAAGAATACATTCAAAGATTTTTAAATAATCGCCTGTCTGAACCGGGAATCGAATTCGCCAAATGTGAAATAAAAACCTATAATTTTACTATATTGATCGAAAGCGTCAATCATAAGGACTATTTTCTTCTAAATAGCATAGCATCTCAAAAAAAGGAAAGATCATGAAATTTAACATTTAATTAAAATAATTAGGTACATTTAACTGCAAATTACCATCAGTTTAAGTCATCAAATGCTCTAAATGTGTCCCATTCTGTATACAAATTCTCACTCTTTTTATAATTTCGCTTCCTGATGATTGATTCACCTTTTCATGGTGAATGTAAAAGAATACGTCTAAGTTCAGTTTGTATGTGCAAATCTTTCAACGCATTTCGAATTGTTTTTAAAATCAAAATGAACTCTTCAGTAAAATTTTCTGTCTACGGTATTTAAGGTACTTTCTCTCTTGAGGCATAGCTTTGTGACGCCCTGTATTATAATAACTCCAAAAATAGTGTATCTGTATATATAAATAATACCTTCGACGAACATGAATATTGCGTAATATGCTTGACAAAGTTTTTTCGTAAATTGGAATCATTGACAACGCTGCGTCTTCCTGGCTGACTTTTTTGATGAGCTGAAAAAATAATCATCATTAATTTCAATCTCTGTATATAAAAAACAATTTCTTTTCATTCTGGAGTATTAGAACCATTTTAAAATATCAGGCGGGCTAGAGGTGTTTCAACAATATGCCGAAAAGGTATTTGTTAAGCAGATGCGCTATCAAACACTTTTTTCTTCCAGTGGTATTACAACGTAACGCAAAGTTAATGTTCAATAAAATTACTTTGTTAAACTAAAATGATGTCATTGAAATCTGAAGTAGTAGTATTCTAATTTTACATTGTTGTACGGATTTAAAATCGTAACAATTTGTAAAATATTTTTAAAACTTTCAAACTTCAAATTGTAATTGATTATACTCACCGAAAGCCACTCATTGCGGACATCAATGATGCTAAGGAATACGTCGCCGTCCAAACTCACTCCGGTGAATTGTCCCAGAGCTATTGTCCTGTCTGCGCGAAAGTTTATAGACAAGTTAGCAGAGAATGTCCTTCGTCTGAACGTCAAGAATAGGCAGTTTTTTTATGATCCCAAGTAACGGAACGAACAAGTTGTGCGCTTGGTGGTAAACGACACACCAGGCCATATCAGTGGCAGTGCCACTCAGTTTTTTAAATCACAAAGATCTGAGAGGTACTGCCACTGCGTCTGTCACCCTGAAGCATAAGTTGACAAGTCCCATACGGCCTCAGCATAGTATATATAGTTATGTATAGTTTTAAAATGGCATAAATATAATTTGAATATATTATATATATATATATATATATGTGTGTGTGTGTGTGTGTGTGTGTGTGTAATATATGTATATAATTAATCATGTATTTTAATTTTCAACTATTAGGATGGTATACGATAGACGTAGATTTAATGTAAAATTTATTCTAAAAATGTATATTGCAACACCTTAACCGGGTCCATATTTGTATAAGTTTGTATGTACTATTCATGATGCAATAAATAAATAAATAAATTTCACCAGCACCCTTATCCTTCAAAACTTGGTCGCAGAAATAAAAAAGGCGGCAATACTCCCCTGGACGAACTCTTTCACAGGGAGCTCTACTGCTGCTGTATGTTTTGAATGATATCGATGTATTTTTGCGATATTTTATTAAAAAGTCTCAAGCTCAATTACGAGCTTAACGCACGTTTAATTTATAAGGTGGTGTGGTTAAGCTACCAGACATAAATAGGTCCTGGAACAAAAAATTCGTATAAGAAATTTTAACTGGAATTACCTTTCAAATTATCCATATGGTGAGAATGTTGAGTAGAAAGAGAGACAAGACTTTGTAGTGCCCCTCTTATGTGGCTTATATTCCAACCAGAGTCATACTTCACCTAAAATGCATTTGTGTTTAAATTGAGAAAATTGTATTTACATGTCAGAGGAAACTATGTATGTTACCATGATCACTAGAAGAATTATATGCTATGTTAATCGAAGTACACTTTAACCCAGCTCGCCTTAAGGGATATCGCAAACAGGCGGCGGCGTTCCGATCGCGTGGGTCACGTGGTCGCGTAATCACCTTCTGGTTACGGAATCCCTTAAAAAACTATAGAAATGGTACATGTATTTATAACTTGTTGCCTTAATAAGTAATTCTTTTTTAATAATAAATTAGTTTCAATAATCTCTATAATTTTTTTGTACATTGCCCGTAAAGGCTTACCAATATCAACTTGCGCTACTTGTATATCGAAGATTTTTATATTTCGTGTATTAGGTATTCGAAACAAGAACGCAGTGTATTAAATATCACCAAGAAGATTTTTTGAAATCATTTTCTTAATATTTATTTTATTGAATTTTTTTTTTTACCATATTTTGTTGTTATTATTGACACTAAATCGAACACATACAAAGAAAACTTCCACACGAACCAGCGACTTTGCCAAACCGGGGTCGATGAAGAAAATCAACCTAGTCAAAACTGTAGTTAAAATATGACAAAAATGACGTGGAATTAAAAAAAACTAATTTCTTCCATTACCGAGGATTTACGTAACAAAATTAATTATAGCGTCACCATTTAAAATAAACCTTTAAAAGAAGAACATTTAGTATAAATATATAAGTTAAGTAATTTTTACTAGACTAAAGCCGAAGGGTAAGATGGGTTATGTTTCTATGAAAAACGTGTATTTAAAGTTGTAAAATAAACGTGTTAAGTATGTAAATAAAGTAAGTTTAGGAAAGGAATACTTCATATTTACGAACTTCTTTTATACCATAATTTTTGCACAAGCGTTCTATCAGGGATTCGACTTGCTTTCTCGTAGCATTTGTTGATTCGTATTTTTCTTTTGCTACAGCACTATTTTCGATGATCCATTCTCTGAAAATTTGAAGATTTGCTTGAACATCGATAGAAATATATATTGTTTAAAAGCTGCAGAAAAAACGTATATGTATGTGTATGCGAATATCGAAATTTGGACGTCGTCGTTGGAACCGATCAGGGGTAAATTACATAATTATATTTAATTATAGGGCATAAATCCACATTACACAGTGGACATTAAAAACGAGCCTTATCCATAAATTTAAAGTCGCTCAGCGTGTGATGGAGCGAGCTTTGCTTGGGGTGTTTCTGATGGATCGAATTCCTAATGATGCTATACCTACGTCAGAGAACTAAAGCACAGATTACTTAATAGTTACTACGTAAAAAATTCATCACTCTCATACAAAATCGAAAATACCTACGCTTTAACATTCTACTAAATCTGACTAATGACAGCAGCATGAGATTAAGCACCAGAATAGATAGCAATTCCGGACAATCAATGAAGCCCGATGCTATTTTTAATAAAAACTTTAAGTCACTAATATCATGACGAATTTCAAGTGATAGGAGATGATGCTTCCTACAGAGATTGTTATAATTGGCAGAATTATAACAGTCATTTGTTCGTTAACATGAGAAACGGACGACTAGAGAAAGGTGGCTGGCATCGGCTGGAAACGGACGGCGCAGGACCGGGAGAGTTGTCGTGCTAAGGGAGAGGTTTATGTCCAGTAGTGGATGCGTGTAAGTTCAAAATAATGATTATGTGGCAACGGATCACATTTCAAATGTGGCGCTTGTTGTCATTGGTTGCAACGACGACGTTTTGATCATAGTATCTGCTCTTACAAACCCATAAGTTTATATTGGTATAAGCTGCATGTTGCATGTATAAACTAATTTCCACTATCGATAACACTAACACGGACGTCAATAGTCATAACTTATCATTTCGCAATTAAAACTTAAATAATAATAATAAACTTTTGATTACGAACTGATTAATCTATACAGTTCGTTCGAAAATCTTAAAATCATGTTAGAATGATGTTAATCATCATAAATTCATTAATTAACCTAGTATCTTAAACGTAATTCAAATATTTTTGGGAGCCATTTATATGCTTCTCCATAAAAAGGACTATCAGGCTTATCCCAAACGACATCCAGAATGCCGTTGTTGCTGCCTCGAATTTGTCGAATTATGGAAGCTGTTTGTTTTTTTTTTTTAATTATGTTATTCATGACATGATAACATGTCAACCTATACAATAGTAGATACCTAATAAGAAAAAAAAGTATAGGTATTTAGTAACTTTATAATCAATTCCTATGCCTATTCGAAATTTGGTTCTAGAATTTACTCACATAAGGTTAGAAGCACTCTTTTTTTCTTTAACTTTTCTTTTTATATCATTAAAAATAGTTCCAAAATCGTTAGTGTATTTTTCGTATGCTGCTTTTACATCAGATTTGCTGAAAAAATAATTTACGGTTTACACTAAAATGTATAATGATGTGCATTTTTATAAAATCTATTTATTTATTTTTATTTTATTTTATTTTATTTGGTACAACAACAGACATTAGATCACAAACAATACTTATTAACAAGAAAAAACACATAACACTTTAAATCTAATATCCAATAATAGTTATACACAACTTTCCTAAATATTTATATTTTTAACAAACGTATAATATTCATAGGTATAATATACATACAATATATATTTATTTATATAGTTATATTTATGTATTTATATTTATATTTCAAACAAATACTATTTCAACAAATATTAAAAGCAGTGCCAAATGAACATAAACACTAATTTCTGTTACAACTTGAATACATTGCAGCTTTGAATGACATAATACTATTTGAAAATATGTCATCATCATCATCATCATCTACCCAAACAACAATAAAACTTTGTATATCTAAAGTTAATAATTCTTATTGACATTTGCAGGTTACTAAATGAAATTTATCGCAGTTGTAAGCCAAAATTGAGGCTATCAGCGCAAATATGGTGCAATACTTAAAATGTATATAAAATTTTATTTATACTATATAATAAATAGTCATATACAGAGTGGCCCGGAAGTGATGGTCAAAACGAAAGGAGGAGGTAGGGTTGAGTATTCCAATCGATTTGACTACTACATTGGGGTCCGGAAATTGATGGCTAAAAAGTTATTCAAGTTTTTGTGTTTTTTGGAAAAATCACTAAGTGCATATTTTTATTTATTTATTAAGAAAACCAACGCCGTTACATAAAGTTACATAGTATATAGGCTAAGAGTAAAGCTAATGACAGGTTTCCCTTGTTTACATAATATCATTATATAATATTAAACAAAAGTAGGTACATTTAACATTAGTGGTGAGTGAATAAGATTAAACTAGTTTTAGATGCCGAAATCACAAAATCACTTGTTGTTAAAAGATAAAACAATAATCCCAGTAATGGGACGTTAATATTAACAAGTCGTCTGAAAAACTGCATCCTTAAAAATAATCACAAAGAAATATCCACAAGGACTTTTGAAGTTATTTTTTTTTGCATTATGTTTTTGAGATATGTGTCTTTTCGACAGAACTCTTTTCATAAAATGAGCTAGCATTATGTCAACAATTGCAAATAGCCCTTTAGTGAGCAATTTTCTGTTCACAAAACATAAAACCAAAATAAAATGTACCTACTACGGAAAGGTGACGAAAATAAAAAAACTAAAAGGATTAGAAGTTCCTTTGGTCACAAGTCAACATTTAAATATTATTAAGCATAATGTCAGTACAGAGTACTAAAAACAGCGACCACAAAAGTTCGTGGAATTACATATATTTATGAAGTTTTATTTACAGATTACCTACCTATATTCAGTTTTGTGTGTACTCCTGGGTATTTTGTCTATGTAGCTAGTTGAGATGTCACAGGCATTCAAAACTTTGACTACAGTGTCCCGGACATCATTGCTATTTAAAGATATCTTGACTAGTCTGAAGTTCCCTGAAAGTATCAATTGATATATTGGCTACAAAATTTAAACTATGAAGAATCTAGGAAATGAAACTATTTTTCCGTGGGACCTGTAAAGGGCCCGAAATAATATGAGTAATAGAGTATTGAATAAGTATTCTCAATTAAGTAAAAGTATAAGTTGATTAAGAATCTAAATTTAAATGTTTTTTGTTAGCATTAAGGAATAGCCATGAATTAATAATGAATAGTGAAAACAGAATTGAAATTTTGGTAAAGTCAAGTAATTACAAGTATTCAGAAACAAGGAGTTGTAGAAAAACAGCAACACCTGTTTGTGACACCACATCTTAATGGCGCCATGTCAGCTACGAACGATTGTGTTTTTTTAAACACGAAAGTGCATCCCCCGCCACCAAGACTGGGCAGTATTTGAATGGCTAGTTATGGAAATCAGGGTTCAAAGCGATAATTAACATTGATATTTATAAAACGTAATGTCGTGTCATGTGTTTGTATCCGAGAAGTATTCAAACAATTTCTAAAAGTCACAAACTAAATGGTGTTCCCAAAATTTTAGTCAAAAATTAAAGAGACAAAACCAAATCAGCCGGGACAATTTTATTATCATGATAAAGGGAAATTATATATATTGATAATTTCGAAACCCTTATTGAAATATGTATTTGGAATACAAATGCATATTTCATTCAATTACTGCCTAAAAATATATTTTGACATTGATATTTCAAACACTTTCTTGGTATACAACTAGTGGTAATAGTTGTAATTTGTATTTTAAATATGTATAAAAAAATATTATTATGTTTAATCCATGTTTTAAATTTTGCCCAGCCCTACTCACCAAGAACTTTAACCACTTTTATATAAAATATCTCTGCCGCGCCAGCACGATTGGTACGACTTGCGCGAGAAGTGATACAAAAGCATGAGAATAGCAATATCTGTTGTGTTAGTTAAGATCACAGACATAGATATATGTCTGTAGTTAAGATACAGAAATAGATAATAATATTTCTGAGATTAGTTGAGTTATTGAAAAAGAAATTTCACATGAACATTTATGTGAGTTGACTGATACAATAAAAAAAAAATTATAGGTACTATAGTTGTTTATACATTATAAACTTAGAAATACCTTCTGGCATATCTTTCTGTCTGACATAGAAGGAGAGCGGGGGAATGGTAATGCTTCGTTTAGATTGCTGTGCCTCTAAGAAGGCACTTAACTGCTGAAGAGAGTACTCATTTGTTTTCTATAATAAAATAAAACAAACCTGAATACATGAAATTAAATTTAAAAGTTATTTTACTACAAATTCTCAAAGCAATCATAATTTATTATTCACATGAGTTCCATGACTAAACTTTATGACACAAATTTCTACTTAAGCTGGATTTCATATACAGATAATTCTTCAATAAAGCGAACACAAAATTGACATTTAAGCTCTTCTAAAGGAACAGTAAAACAAGTACCCTTTGTTCAGGATATTTTCCAAAGAGGTCTGGGTGCACATTGAAGTAGAAAGGCCGTAGTGCAGTGGACACTTCGGCTGAACTTAGACATCTGCTAAATACCCTTGGTACACACACTATCCTGAATGCCTGTCTAATGAAAATAAGAAAAAAGTAATTTTTTTTAGATACCAAATGACGGGAACAAGTTGTGCACCTGATGTTAAGCAACATGCCTGTTATAGTAGTTGCAGTGCCACTCAAGAGCTTTATATCGCAAACATCTGAGCAACACTGCCACTGCACCTGTCGCCCTGAGTTGATAAGTCCCACATGCCTGCAATTTCACCAGCACCCTTACTTTTTAAAACCAGAACACAGTAATGCTCACATTACTGCTTGGCAGCAGAAATAGGTAAAGTGACAGTACTTCCTTGGACGAACTATTTCAAAAGGAGCTCTACTACTACTAAATTATGATATTGATACTTAACAAACAAGTGCACAGATTTATACAAGTTGAAATTTTTATTTTTACCAATTTGGTACATTCTTTGTTATTTATTAATTATTAGCTTTAGTTTAAAATTCAAAGCACTTATTTCAACATTATATTTTTCCTTATCAAATACTCACTTTTAACAAAGCTAATAATTAATAAATAAAAAAGAATACCAAATTGGTTATTGAACAGGGAAACAGGGTTATGTCAAAATGTTTACTCACAAATTATTTCGTAAATTTGTCAACTTTTTAAATTACGTAATAAAAAATCCATATGTTTATGTTAGTTGCATTTTCTATAAGACTACATACACCAAGTAATTCAATAACCAGGTATTGTTCGTTGCCTTATTGCGTACATACAAAGTTTTTAGGTTAGCGTAACGTAATAACTTACTTGAATTTTAACCAGGAGTACATTTTAGAAGCCTGCTAGTTTACTTGGTAGCACATTTCAGTGGGTTTAGGACATTTGCGCTCTAAAATTTAAGCAAAACACACATTTTTTTGAATGTTTTTGACATTATTCGGATGTCTCTGCTGTCATTTGTCTATTCAGCTGATTGTCAATGTCATTAAAGTATATTTTTAGGCACGTTCATTACTGACTACGTTCATCTTTTTGCTAAATTTAAAGAATAATACCCATGTTATCCTCGCTTTTAGTATTTACAAACAAACGACAACGAATCATGAATAATTCCATTAATTTATCTATCTTAACCCACCATTTGCAATAACCGTTCATAAACTTTTTTCTGTTGTTGTTCAAAAACTAAGAACAAAGATAAGTGGAAAGATTGACAAGCATTTTACAAGAAGCTTTAACTTTTTTAAATTAAATTTCAACTATAAGAACCATGTAGAATAATTTTGAGCTAAGCTATGAAAAATTATATCAATAGATTATAATATAGATTGTTATAATTATATTACCTACAGATAGATAGCCTCATCAGGACAGGCTCTACCTAATGTTGGACTAACTACAGCCATTGCACAATGTTTTGAGGCTTGGTATCACGTTTGCGATGCATGTAAATGTTAAAACATAAGTCAATTCAGAACACAGATTAGGCGTAAGCTTGTTTCTAGAAATGTAGTCATATTGTTGTTTGTGATGCAAAATAAACGTCTTATTATTTCAATATACTTATATACCTAATTAAAATAACGAATATTATACCTTCCTGCTAGGAACCATGACATTTAATTGGAGTTTTGACGACCCATCGAGGATATAGGTAACCAATTTCGATGGGAGGATCATACCATCGCAAAGTTGAACTTTCAGAGAAATTGTGCAATGCAATTATTTGGAAATATTTTAAAGACATGTGCTGCTGATTTCTTTTGGCATAAACTAGTTTTATTTATATTATTAAGGATAAAATATGGTAGTATGAACTATAAGTAGATCACGGAAACTGAATGCTGAAATGTCCTGCAAGACGGTGTAAGTTGGAGTCTAATGTGAACAACAAGTAAGCACGGAGTGACTGGTGTTTCTGAGATATTATCTGAAGGCTACGCGTGTGGTGGCAGCGGCTGCAACGGCTCGTGACGCAAAGAAACGCACAGACGCGGTAGCGCCGAGGTCCGAGCCGCAGCCGCCGTGTCGCACTGCAGCCAGCGACCAGAGTTCGCCATTCACCGAGCTGCTTCATAATTGTTCCACAGACAAGTTCAATAATTAAGCGATAAATATACCAGCAGTAGTGCGGCGAGAGGAGGGCGGCAGTCGAGCGGCAGCCGTGTCGCGTACCACACACCCGTGCCGAGTGATGGGCCCGAAGCTCATTCGACATTTTTCTAGCGGCCGACGTAGGAATCTCACCGGACTGGTTCCCGCGCAACGCAGCGTTAGTGCGCCGTTCTGGTGAACCCTTTCGCTTGTAAATGTGCCGATATTTACATATGCGCGCGCGTTCTCACATCGAACTTTCGATCTGCGCCCGAGCCTCTGGTGTGCTCCGCGAGTTGGCCGACAACGCGCCCGCGCTGCTGCCACCGCCCCAGCGCACACCCCGCCGGCACGACGTGCAATGATCTACGTATGTCTCTTATTTACTACTAATTCGCAATCCTGTGACACCTGTCGCAATTTCAAGTTTTTCAACCAAATTCTAAAAGCTTCACCACTCTATCTTATGTAAATAAACAAGCTTATTCGTGATTTTTTCCTTCTCGTTTGGCTTCTAGCTTACTTCAGCGTAAGTAAATATATTTCCTTAGGTTTAGGGTATCTACGTGTGTTAGCACAATTCGGTATAAGAGTTGTTGCCGACAGCAGTTTTCGCTCTATCACTCTATCCATTTCTGTAAGTTGTTGATATTGTACAACTATTGACGTAACATTTTCTTTGTGGTTTGCGTATGTCTACATGTGAATGAAATAATAATAATGTGAAATTGAAACGCAGAGCTTTAAGTAATCCTTAACTTAGTTCGCTATGCTCTTAGGTAGGTACATGAACAAGGTTGTTTCGTAATACAGATAGCGACTCATAAAAACATAATAACATACCTTAATTTACGAGTTATTTTTCCATTCAATATAATTGTGGACAATAAAAAGTGTTGACAAGCTCCCGGCTTCCGCAATTTCAAATCCAGTATGTTGTGTAGGTACCCATATATGTATACCCATGTTAAGTAAGTATAGAATCGTAAAACCCCGTATTTACTGCTTTAGTAAGTTAGATAGGTATAGCATTTACAAAAGATTAAAAATAATCAAACCAATCAATATCTAACGTATAAAAATAGGTCACATAGAATTACAAGTAAATAACAAAACTTAAGAAATATTTCCTACTTCTACATTTGCGCAAACAATATTCCGAGAACAAACAGATAACGCAAAATAATATATTTATCATCTATACGTTTGTAAAACATATTAATTATGTATTTTATACCTATACTGTGTCCTATTTAAAATATAGTTAGTACAAGATACATTCTGCTAAACATCGAGTTAATTCGAAGAAATGTAACCGAACAACACTTTATTTGAATACCATTTCTCTGTACTTAGAATGACGAAAGCCGAACTTGAACTCTATAACACCTATAAAGCACGTATTAATTATTTTATAACATTGGAAGGAGTGATTTTATCTAAAGATTCAATAAGGGAGACGACAGCTGATATTTTATAGGGTTCTCAAGAGTAGGTACACGTTATTCATATTGTTGGCTAAAATCATCTTCCAAAATAGGTATAGTGAAATAAACAATGACATCGATTTTAGGTATCTTATTTATGATAACCAAATGAAGGGGTGACCAAGTCGTGCACATGGTGGTAAGCGACACGCCTGTCCATAACAGTTGCAATGCCACTCAGAACTTTAAATCACAAAGATCTGTGGGCCACTGCCCCTGTATGCGTCATTCTGAGAAATGAGTTGACAAGTCTCATATGCCTGTAATTTCACCAACACCGGAACGCAGTATGCTCACATTACTGATTGGCGGCTGAAATAGGTGAGTTGGCAGTATTTCCCTGTACGAATTCTTTCACAAGGAACTCTACAAAAAATATATCAATAACGATATTAAATTTTTTTCTTTCCTTCGTCAGCATTATAATTAAAACCACATTCTGAATGTAAGATTTAGGCATAAACTATGATGCAACCTATTGTATAGGAATCAAACGTCCCTGTCTAGGTACGAAAGTAACCGAAGGCAGGCAAGCGTAACAGTCGATGGCTTCTAGACCAGCTATAGCGGCGGCGCTAAGAACTAAGGATAACAGATATGATTAGTCGTTATGTTCACTGATTTGAGGTAATGAATAGCCTAGTTATGTTCATAACCACCATCATGGCTATAGTGCAAAAATTTAATTGAAAATCAACCACAAAAAAAATGCCAGTCAGTCTATAGATAAACAACGCAATTACGACTAGACTGTTCACTGTTTTATAATTGTAATTTGCGTTGTTTCCGTATTATTTTTGCACCAAAATGATCGTGATGTCGTTTTGTGATGTATATTGTAACAGGTCGTGAAGCTTAAATAGTGAAACAGTGTATCAAAGTTGCATCGCAACTGTGGACATCAATTGGACTTATTAATTATAATTGGACTTAGGAATTGGATTGTAGTGCAATAAGACAATATTTCGCAATCTTTGGTCATTTTCCCTAGTTATCGGATGTTTTTAAAAATATTATATATAATAAAAATATTGTACACATTAAAAAAAAGTAATGGTAAGTACTTATTGTTGTCGCAAATCGTTTTATCGTGAATTAAATGATAGATATGCGTAGTTAATGTCGAAAGACATTAATTACATAATTTTATAACAGTCAATATGAAACTGAAGTCGAACATTCTTAGTGTAAGCACTAAGCGCCAGATTGAGGATACAGACAAACAATTGGAAGAAGTAACTAATTAACCGGGACAATTATATCGTAAATTGAACGCAGAAAAATCTAAAAATCGAGACCTAAATGCATATAGAGTCAAGGAAGATTTATCATAATTATTGTTGAAGTGTCTGCACTTCTTATCAGGAATCTGTGTAGCGCGTAAAGTATGCCCGCCCTATTGTGGTGTCTAATAATAAATCAGTCATCAATTAATAACTGTTTTGCAAACAAAGCGAAACAGCTGATAGAACCGTGCGAGGAACAATTAAAGTCAATTCTTGATTAACTTTATTGAATCGCTCGCGAGATCAAAGAACACTCTAGCTTGTTTGTTACACTCAGGAAAGATAGGAAGCAGACTCACAAAACCATGTGTGAACAGAATTGTACTATTTTTAATATTGTTTAATTTTTTTGGAACGATCATTCGATGTTCTTATGTTTCCAGTAAAAAAAATACAATCACGTGAATAAGTCGAGTAATTGAAAAGTGAAGGTTTTGAAATTTAATGTGCAGTCCGAAATCGAAATTCGAACCCGAAACTGTAAAAGTTGCAAGGAAACTGTCTTAGGATCCATTAAGTCTTTTTTGTGAAAATAATTTTGGCATTTATTTGTCAAGCGTGTGTTGTCCATAAAAATGAATAAAAATCAGTCAACCGTGACCATGGGACCTGTAAAAGGCCAGAAACGTCGGTTTGTTTGAAAAAACAAATATACGCGATTTAAATCCGGAAAAATAGTTTCATTTCCTATGAATAAAAATGATCAAAATTTTTAAAATGTTGCACCAAATGAGCGATTTGTACTTTGGGCAAGGAAGCTACTAGTCTTCGCTTATCCCCGGAGATGCATTTATTATTTGAATGTGTGAAAAAGACTCTGGGACCCGTGATATTTCAGCTCCTATTTTAGATTTTTCAAATTTTCCAGCCAGCTGCTTCTTAACTGTTGTAAATTTCTCTATTATGTTTGTAAATCTAGTAAAAAAAAACATTGGTGACCCAAATTAAAAGCCCGTATATATTATGTACTTGTATATGCTCAATTCAGTGGGCCTAAGTTGAATTAGCTCAAGATACTAATTGGGGAATTTAGCGTTCATGCAGCTGCGTTCGTTTTTGTTTTTAACAACAGTGATAGCGTTGTTTTTATCCCAAACAAACGAAATCCCACAAATAAATAAAAATGCGTTAATCAGTGTCTATATATACAAAGTGTGTTGTATGATTGGTGACTACCAGACCGTGGAGACGGCAAAAGGCCTTCGTCTTCACGCTCCACTGCCTCTCATGGCGCCGCCTCTTTCCAATTACATATACACTAGTGTATATATATGTGTGTGTGTATATATAATAGTTTAAAAAGAGCGCAGAGGGTTAAAAGGATAAAGCGCCACAGGATACGACATGGCGCGCGGCGGATCATATTTTACTGAAGATCATTCTTGAAGCTGACTGTACATGTTACTTTAGGATGTAGATTATTAAAATATTTACACTTAGGTTCCATCCAATCGTTTGGATTGTCCGCATTTACAAAACGTTTTTTAGATGAATGTTCTTTTATCCCCAATCGGCTGGATCAATTGGAATAAAATTGTCTATCTAAAATAAACACGGATAAGTTTTTAAGATTGATACACATTGAAAATGTAACTATTTCTTGGGATCTAAGTCGCGTATAGATATTCGTTTTTTCAAAATACGCAATTTTTTTACGGACTTTTCACAGATCTCGTGATCAGGACTGACTGTAAGCTTCATTTCAAGCTTCAGTGGATTATATATCTACTTGCAGTTTCCTCTGCTGAGTAAGGGTGTCTTTTTAAAACAAGACTTTTTGGACATAGATCATCGATAAATTAGTCTCGATCATCACTGCATCATTGCCTTAGTGGCAGGCTTGAATTACTGGGTAAATTAATCATAATTGCACAGATGGTTCCCTGAAGATTTCCAGTATCACCGCCCACAAGATTGTTTATTGCAAACCACCATTTATGTGTTCCGGATTGAAGGGCAGGGAAATTACATGCACAGGATGCCTATGATATAATTTCTTTTTTTTATGATGCTAAATCACGAAACGAATAAGTGGTGCGTCTGGTGGTAAGTGACAGATGCAGGGCCGCTCAGAGCTTTAAATCGCAAAGATCTGAGGAACACTGCCGCTGCGCCCGTCACCCTGAGACAAATTGACACGTATGGGACATGTGCCTGTAATTTCACCAACTTTCTCTGGACCTACAACACAATTGCTACATAGGTATGTAGCAATTGCCTTCAGTCCAGATCCAGAGAAAGTTGTGTGCCTGAAGGAGCTTCTTTGGCATAACAAATGACTCAAATCATGAGATTGATCGTCAATACTCTGACGATTCTTCCTTACGAACATAGATATCAAACGTGAAATCAAGGCACCATTTAGTGCCTAGAAATAACTAATCGACTTTACTTGTTCTTGTGCGGTGTTATTTGTTGTTGTGTAATTAATTGAAGGGTAATAATAACTATTAACAATTGAAAGAAATAATCTAACTTCGTCTAAAGTTTGTCTTTGCACGACTTGTTCGTCCCATTACTTGGTATGATAAAAAAATGTTAGTTTTAGTCATTTATTGATTCAAGATCAACAATTTAATTTTTTAGGTTAAATAGGT